TGGTTCCGTCGATTTTGACAGCTCCAAGTTTGATGCGCCAATAATCCTCAGACACTAGTGGTTCCCATGCGATTGAACCCTGATAACCGCCAAGTTAATTCTTCCATTTTTTAAATTTCGCACAACAGACCTTGTAGTGAGCAGGGTCAGTTCCGCACAGAGTCATCTCTCCTCCGGCAACGTTGTTGTTGAGATCGCGATTGAGCCAAAATGCAAACAAAGCTTCTGGGCATAAAGCCTTAATTAGCCATCTGAGAAACGATTTTTGTTAGAGCTATTTCAAGCTTTACCTTATTGGCAAAGATCTGATCCATTGGCTGAGGAATGTTATTTACTGAAATTCGATCCCACCCCATACCAAGGATACCATCGAATTTAGCAGCCTAGACGAGGCTGTTAGCAGATCGTGTTACTATGTAAAGAGGCAGAGTATTTACAACAAAAGCAATTCCTGGTTCCTGCGTAGCGCAAGCCAGTCCTTGGGTCTTGTCTGTGCACCAAGTGTGGTCAGATCCGAACTGAAAGGTCCAAGAGAAGCATCCACACAATATCATGGATTCCGTCAAAACTTACGCAAACAACATCATTGTCAACAACTCCCTTCATTGAGCCAGATCCATACTGAATCTCGAACGGCTGGTTGGTTTCTGTGCAGGTGGAAGACTTCTTGCAGTCGAACTCAAAATTCAAGTTTGGATGACAGCTCTACGAACAAGGGAGATTGAGAAGTGGACAAAGTGTTACTTTGGTGTGGAAATCGCAGGCAATATCGCTAGCTTTGCAGGTCTTGCAAGGCACCCAAAGGTTTGAGGAGCCGGTGTCGAAAAGAAGTTGGAAGGTCTGTGGTGGCGTCCCAATTTGGACTGTGCCATAGTATTGAGCCTGAAATGCGAAATCAACAAAGTAACAGAAAGAACCTTTCCTTTCAGGAGTACTTACATTAGAGTAATCCGAGAGACCCTCGTTGTAGGCAAGATTAGAGTCGAACTTGTATCCCTTGATGTACTTCTGCTTCAAATATTCAGCGATAGAAGCGACTTTGTATGAGCTACGCGGGTAGGTTGTTTTGTGCATAGGAACCCTAAAAGTATACACAACTTTTTCGAACTACCTTGAGAATAACTTCGCTTACCGCACTAGGGCCTCGATAGCGAGACATGCTGATAGGAGAAGAAGTAGAAACTGAGCCATAACGCTGCCCATGTTTCCAATCAGCATCTCCTTTTATAGGATCGCATAATCAGTTTCATGCGCGCGTCCTTATCAAGCACAAGTACCGGGTTTTCGAGCTTCTATTCAAGTCAGTGGCATAAAATTTACCCAACAATTACCAAATAAATCGAAGTTTCTCAAAACAATCAGATATAGGGAGAATAGGCCGTCCCCCCTCGAGGGGCTGCTCGATTTGAAATGAGTCACTTCTGAATAATCAGACCAGTTCTTCAGATCAGACAGCAGATCTCGCTTTTGGGAAAAATTCATCGAAGTTAAAGAGATTTTCTTCTAATTTTTTTACTCATGAATAGTTCGTTCTATTAGTGTGAGTAGTTATGGCTTGCAACTTAAGGACTTTCGGAAGGGTTGGGTTGTAAGATTTAAGAGCTTGTTGTGCGCTTTATACATATTGCCTATTGGTC